TGGACAGGCGAAGGGGTAAGAAAAAACCCACCGGCTGACACTGCTATTGAGAATAACAACCACGACAATTTCAAACGCAGCCTTAATTTTTCCTAAATTGGCGGTTAGATAATCTGTTTTGTGGTAAAGATCACTTTCTATTAGCCATCTCCTTATTTAGTCGTCGTTAAAATAACCCTCGCTGCTATCCACTGGAATGATGTTGGAAATAAAAGTATCTACAGTGGGAAGTGGAGGCTAGTCCTAGAGCCGAATGGAGGATCCAAGGTCCCATTCTGCTAAAACTGCTTACCCTGATCTCCGAGATCAATAGAAGGAGGGTGTAGCAAGAAAATCCCCCCTCTTGTTCATGGTAAGAACATCTGAACTAAGTGAGACATACATTGATCACAAAGATGTATCGTAATTTCAGGCTGTCGACAGATGCATACCCTGGCTATTATTGAGAAAAATCAAATCCCTAGCTGCATTGACAGCGGATATTTGCGCTGCTGCCTCCCACTCGACATTTCAGCTGACAGGAATCCTTATTCATAAGGCCATCTCTTCGGCTCCTTTAACCTCTATTTTTATGGAAAGGCTTTGAATTCCGGAGTCCTCCGCCGGTGATATGATTCCTCATTCGTCTCAGGGAAGAGCGCTGTGTAGGGAATATGGCACGAATGGGACGAGGGCCTGATCATGTCAAGACAGGCAACCTTGTTTGGCTCCATGTTAAATCGCTTCTGAAATAATCTGGAATGCGATTTGGCCCGGAGATCATGCGGGGGAAAGTTACTGACGGCGTCTGGCCAATGGTTATGTGACCAGGATCTAATACGTAATCCAGATCTTGTATGCTCTCAAGCTCAATATGGTGTGAGATAGAAGAACATTCGGCGGATTAAGTCAGTACACCTATCAATAACAGTATGCTGTAGTATTTCAGCAGAGGCTGCACTTCGGGGAAGTTTCGGGAAAGTCCTAGGTTGTTTTAAGTTAAACTCATTAACTTTAAGTTTTTGGCTTTTATTTGACTCTGGAGCCTCGACCAGTCTCAACCTCCGATGGCCGATGGAGATATCTATCCCAGATATGCCCGTCCTTAACTTGGACTGAGTCTGGAAGGAAGGTTACTTCAAGCCAACGCAGGTGGCACATTGCTGGAAACTTGCTGAAATACCGTTCAAAACAAATTTCTCCCCTTCGCACAGTACATGCCCGGAGAAGCATTTTGAAAGTGTGCTCTCACACTAACTAGTGAATAGAGATAGGTTTACAATGACGCCTACTGATTTTTCTGGAAGGTGAATAGATTCCTTTTCTAGCATCTGGAACTCAAATTATACGCAACCTCATCATGCCGGAAGCCTATTGCAAAGTAGATTTCCAACAATCTGAACTATAAACCCAATATAATTTAGTGCTTCCGAGATGTCTCACTATTTTGGGTGTCGATCAGCACGCAACCTTCCATACTGGGATGATCGCAGCAGCAACGGCGCGAGTCTGGAGGTTTTCTGTCATAAAAGAGAATTCCACGTCCGCCTTCTCTCTTTTTTTACTCTTCTATTTTCCTGTCTCTTGTTCCTATGGAATGAATTACACTACATGTGATGATATAACGAGTACTAGCAGTTAGTCAACTAACTAGTTCTAATTTGTGTATTACATAATATCACTATGCTTTTGCCGATTGCCTTTGCTAGCTTGGCCGTTGCGACAGTAAGTTTGCCCCTGTTATTCAACGGTTTATACTCGATGAGATTATCAAGGGGGCAGAATAGACCAGGCGGACTGCCAAAAGTGAGGGGAAGATGAAGTAATTGACTTGATGGTAAAAAACTAGGAACACCTCACAGAGTCACCTCCATACTATCCATCTCCGTGGGCATCTGGACAGGGAGGCTGGGAAGATGCTGTCGAAAGAGCACGGGATTTCGTTTCTCAATTGACCCTGGTCGAGAAGGTCAATTTAACAACGGGCGTCGGGTACGCTCTCTCTTGTTCTATACTAATTATATCTGCCTTGATATTCGGGTTGCGCTATGTGGATGTAAACGGCTATAGATGCCGTTGCTAGATGTGCTAGTGCTAATTTGGGGTATCAGATGGATGCAAGAAAACTGCGTGGGCCAAGTCGGGTCAATTCCTCGTATGGGCTTGCATTCGCTTTGCATGCAAGATGGCCCTCTTGGAATTCGATTTGGTGAGCAACCCAGATGACGCCCTCATGCAGATATATTTTCTAACGCTAGCCAGCCGATTATGTTTCTGCTTTCCCCGCCGGGGTTAATGTCGGCGCAACATTTAGTAAGGAGCTTGCTTATCTTCGCGGCAAAGCAATGGGCGAGGAGCACCGAGATAAAGGTGTCGACGTTGTATTGGGTCCTGTGGTTGGACCGTTGGGCAGGTCGCCAGATGGAGGGCGGAATTGGGAAGGTTTCAGCCCTGATCCTGTCAATTCCGGGCTCCTTGTTGCAGAGACCATCAAGGGAATTCAAAGTGCCAGCGTCATTGCTTGTGTCAAGCATTTCATAGGCAACGAGCAAGAGCGATTCCGCCAGGGCCCTGAGGCTCAAGGGTATGGTTTCGATATCTCAGAGAGTTCAAGTTCCAATATTGACGATGTAACCATGCATGAGCTCTATCTCTGGTGGGTGTTGCTTCTGTGCCTTTAATATACACTAGCTGACTGCTACTAGGCCATTTGCGGATGCAGTTCGAGCCGGAGTTGGGTCCGTTATGTGTTCATACAATCAAATTAATAACAGCTACGGTTGCGGAAACAGTTACACTCAGAACAAACTACTCAAGGCTGAACTTGGATTCCAGGGGTTTATAATGAGCGACTGGCAGGCTCACCATAGCGGGGTTGGCTCTGCTCTGGCTGGCCTAGATATGTCAATGCCAGGCGATACTGTGTTTGGGACAGGTCGATCCTACTGGGGACCCAACTTGACAATTGCAGTCGCTAATGGAACTATCCCGGAATGGCGAGTGGATGATATGGCCGTTCGAATTATGGCGGCTTATTTCAAAGTTGGCCGGGAAGCAGCTAAAGTGCCCGTCAATTTCAATTCCTGGACTCGAGATGAATACGACTATACGCATGCTCTCGTTAAAGAAGGTTACGGTAAAGTTAATGAGAGAATTAATGTTCGAGCCAAGCATGCCAGTATCATCCGACAAGTTGGGGCAGCTAGCGTCGTGCTTCTTAAACATACCGGAAGCCTCCCTCTGACCGGTTTGGAGAAAAATGCTGCGGTCATTGGGGAAGATGCTGGGCCAAACCTTTGGGGCCCGAACGGCTGCCCTGATCGACGTTGTGATAACGGCACATTGGCGATGGGGTGGGGCAGCGGTACCGCCGATTTCCCATATCTGGTGACACCCGCTGAAGCAATCCAGAACGAGATCTTATCTAAGGGAGAAGGTTCTGTGTTCCCGATTTTTGATAACTGGGCATCGGATCAGATCAAGTCAGCGGCATCTCAAGCTACAGTTTCTCTAGTTTTTGTCAATGCCGATTCTGGAGAAGGATTCATTTCCGTTGATGGGAATGAAGGAGATCGTAAGAATCTAACCCTTTGGAAAGGAGGTGATGAATTGATCCAAACCGTGGCATCATATTGCAACAATACCGTTGTCGTGATACACAGTACTGGACCCGTCTTGGTCGGCGAGTGGAACGAACACCCAAACATTACTGCAATCTTGTGGGCTGGTTTGCCTGGCCAAGAGAGCGGTAACTCGATTGCGGATGTTCTATATGGAAAAGTCAACCCAGGTGGCAGATCCCCCTTCACGTGGGGTAGAACCGCTGAGGATTACGGCGCATCCATTTTGAAGGAGCCAAATGAAGGAAACGGCGCACCTCAAGTAGATTTCACCGAAGGCATTTTTACAGATTACAGAGCATTTGACAAGGCGGACATAAAACCCATCTACGAATTTGGTTTTGGGCTTAGCTACACTTCTTTTTCATATTCCGACTTGAATGTTGAAGTCGTAAGCTCTGATCCCTACATGCCCACCCGGGGCAAAACGGAGCCAGCTCCGATACTTAGTAAATCTGATCACAACCTGAGCTCATATCTCTTCCCTGAGGGAATAGACCGTATTACATATTATATATATCCTTGGCTCAACGTCACTGATCCGGCAAAAGCCTCCATGGACTCTCATTACGGACTACAGAACGAAGATTACATCCCTCCTGGCGCAACCGATGGCTCTCCACAAGAACTTCTTCCTGCTGGTGGGGGACCCGGTGGAAATCCTGGTCTTTATGAAGTATTATATCGTGTGACGGCGACCATTACTAACAC